GGGAAAACAGGTATGAGCAAAGGGGTGAGGATGGGTAGGGGTGAAATCACAGGGTTGCACAGTTTGGTAGGTGGAAGAGGGGGTGAAGAAAATGGGAAGGATCTGGTGTGGACCAGAAAAGATTGGGTAATGATGGGTGAGGTCCAGTCGTGAGTGATTTTATAAAATATAGTGCATGGGAATTGTTATATGAAACACAATATGAATGAGGAGTAGTGTGAAACAAAATGTATATGAACTTTGTGAGCAAATCAATATAAAATAAACTTGGGGGGGGGACCCAACCAAATGATTAAAAAAAAAAAGACTACGGTGTGCCTAAGTGAAGCCATGATCTTTTCAGTTGCTTCATAAGCATCTGAACAAGAATAACAAAAGAACCACCAGTACCTTTGGATTGTGGTTTAGAGAAGAGTACTAAATATCACTTGGACTGTCAAAAGGACAAACAAATATGTCTTGGAGGAAATGCTATCAGGGTGCCTTTCAGAGGCAAGGATGGCGAAAAATCTTCATCTTATTTATTTCGGGCATGTTACCAGGAGGGACCTGTCCTTGGAACAAGAGACCCTCAACAAGATGGATTGACATAGGGGGTATAACAATGGGTTTGAGCATGGGAAAGCTGTTGAAGGTGTTGTAGGATAGGACAAAGTTTGGAGGTATTGTTCTTGGGTAATGAGGTCTAGTTAACTGGACACCACCTAACAACAAAAACACACTGAGTTTCTGACATTGTACCATGGAAGTTGCTAGAATATTAATTTGTCTTTCAAAGACATGGCCTTGTTTTATATTTCATATTTTCTTTTCACTGTCTTAATAGCAGGAGTACCTAAATTCGTGGTCCTCATATACACCATTGTGGAAGCTACATCCCTTCTAGCCAGTGGGGGAGCTTGCTCAGGCCCAGTCAGTCCTGCAGCTTCATTCTCTGTGTCCCCAAAGGAGGCTTGCCTGAGTAGGTAATTACACCCACCCAACAAGTCTCTTGTGTTGGCCACTGACACTGGGAGCCCATCTGGATACCTAGAGAAGTCAGAGCCCATCTATCCCTCCACTGGGCTGTCAAGAGTGGCTCTTATTGTCCTTGTTATTGTTAGATGCCATTGAGTTGAGTATTACTACTCAACTGAGGAATTGTCTTAGTTGTGAACAAATTGTGTGCCATTTTCCTCTGTTGTTTTGTGCTGTTGAGTCTCACTAGAAAGGATTTCTTTTTTCCTTTTTTTTTTCCTGTATGGTTTCCTCAGAAGAGCTGGAGAAAGACTTTGAGCAGACCCTCCAATACTCATGTCATTCTCATCATCTCTGACACACTGGAGCACATTGTTAAAGTCACCATGTCGATCTGTCTCTTTGGGGGTCTTCCTCTCCTTCGCTGACACTCATGTCTCCAAGTATGATGGCCCTTTCCAAGGAACAAACTCACTTAGCTACATGTCCAAAATATGAGAGACAAAGCTATGCCATCTTTGCCTTCAGGGAGCATGCTACTTGCACTTTTTCCAAGATAAGGTTTTTTTGTTCTTTTGGCAGTCCATTGGGTATCCAGTAGTCTTCTCCAGCACCACAACTCAAAGGCATCAATTCTTCTTCTGTCATCCTTATTCATTGTCCAGCTTTTTGATGCATGGCAGGTGATTGGGAAGATCATGGTGTGAGTCAGGCACACCTCACACATTGTTATTCAGCATTTTGGAGCGATCCCTGACAGCAGATATCTCCTGATTTCTTGACTACTGGCCTTTTCTTCCTTTCCTCACACATGGCCAGGCTGATTTCAGACTCTGGTGGAGGACAGTGCTGTCATTCCACAGTGTGGCAGGCAGCAGCACTTTGATTCCACTTTGCAGGCTATTCTGTCAGTGTTCCTGATGAGTGTTCTCCACTCTGGTGGGGGGAGGGTGTGTCATAGTGGATGGGAGGTGGGAACTAGAGATTCTATAGGACCTGTAAAAGGACTGCCCTCCAATGGACTGGAGGAAGTGTGTAGGCAGAAAGGGACTTCACAAGCTGATGGAACCTGGCACTTGGCACTCTGCCAGCTCTCTCTTACAAGGAAAAAGAGAAAAATGATGTGAGGAACTGTAATGTGGTGCATGAGATTGCCTGTCGTTCTCCCTTGGAGCAGCTGGTGGATTTGAACAGCGTGTCTTTGTTTAGACAGCACAACCTCTTACCACTAAGCCACTAGAGCTCCCTGGTGGTTTCTTGTTGTTGTTGTTGTTGTTATTGTCAGGTGCCATCAAGTCGAGTACAATTCATAGTGACCCGATGAATGAAAGATCTGAAATCTGTCTATCCTGCACCATCCTCATACTTTCTGACACACAACAGCCCATTGCAACAGTCACAGTGTCAATCCACCTGGTTGAGGGTCTTCCTCTCCTTCGCTGACCCTCCACTCTTCCCAGCATCATGTCCTCCAAGGAAGAGCTCCTTCCAGCAACATGTCCAAAGTGAGGCAAAGCCTCATCATTCTTTCCTTCAAAGAGCACTCTGGTTGTCCCCTCTCCAAGACATAGCTGTTTGTTCTCTTGACCATACCTGGGATTGTTGAGCGCTCTTCAGCACCACAGCTCAAAGGCATCAATACTTTTTCTGTCATCCTTATTCATTGTCTGGCTGTCAGATGCATAGTTAGTAGCTGGAAAGACTATGGCCTAAATCAGACGTACCTTAGTATGCAAACTGACATCATTACTCTTCAATAATTAATTTAGAGAGGTTCCTATCTGCAGATTTTCCCAGTGTAATGTATCTCCTTATTTCTTGACAGCTAGTACAGGTTAAAACGGCTTTACTGGTCAGATGTAAGAATTTTCTTGAAGTAGGACCCACATCACCTTTTCTCTTCATGAAATAAAAATAAAAATAAACAAGCAGAGAAGAGAAGGACATCAGTGCCACCAAGAAATAAAAGCTGGAAACAGAGTGTGTTCTGGAGTCTTTGTGCAGAGGACCTCCTAGATTCAAAGGTATCTTGATGCCAAGATACATGGAGATCCCAGGAAATTCCAGGCCCACAGATGTTCAGAGGAAAACTGGGTCTTCTCCCAGAGTTGTTAGAATGGGCTTTCCTTTAGAGCTAGTGCTCTAAATTTGGGCTTCTAGCCTCCTAAACTCTTAGGAGAATAAATTTGTTTGTTACAGCCATCCACTTGTGGTATCTGTTATAAGTGTGGACAACTAAGACAAGCTAGTCATTTTTCTAGTATCTGATGTATTTCCCCTGACTGTTGTCCATGAAAATGTGGTAAGATTCTGTAAAGTTAGAATTTCATTCAAATTCATTGCTGTCATATTGAAGCCAACTCATAGCTGACACGCCAGTGGATTTTCTGTAGCTATAAGTAGCACAAGAGTAGATTTCTCCAAACTACCTATGGTGCACAGCCTTTGGGTTAGAGTGACTCCTTATGCACTGTGCCACCAGAGCTCCTGCATAGAGAAAGGATTGAAAAATACAGTGAAGCCTCAGAGAGGAAAAACTTGATGGTACTGCCTTGTTTTTCCAAGACTTGGTTTTCTGCCTTTGTTGGGATACAATCATCACTTTTTTATCATTCACTTAATTTGTGTTCTCCTTTTCTGCACTCTTTTTCTGACCTTACACAGATTTCATTTTCCACTGGCTTTGTTGTTATTTGTCTTATTATTCACAACGTCATAGTCTCTTACAGAGACCACCAAGATTACTAGATTGTGAAATTTTACTTGACACTTAAGGCCTTTTTGAACGATACTTTAAATACCTCTGAAAAAGGAACAACTAAGTTTTTTGGTCCTTTTATTTGTTGTTATTTTTCTCCCCATGACTCCAATTTTATGTGATTTTTTTAGTAATATGAGTTTATATATAATTTTACTAGACTTTTTTTTCCTTCACAAACTTTTATTTCTGCTTTTTTGTTGTTGCTCAACTTTCAGCCAAAATACAGACAAATCCATACAGTGAAAATAACACCTGAGAGGTACTCACTCCTTAGAAAAATTAGTCACATAAGATCTAAAGGGCATACCATCCAGGTATAAAACTCAGGAGGAAGGTGAAGGACAGAAGGATTAGTGGAAAAGAGAATCACATGGAAGAGATAGGAAGAGCGCTTTCATTGTGTATGTTGTATTAGTGTCATAAAACAAATGTATGTGACTGGTTAAATAGAAAACCAGCTGGCTTTTTAACCTTTCATGCAATTCACAAGAAAAAGAAGGCAGGGGGAGCATGGGAAGATACTGCCAATCTTTATGAAACTAAAAAAATCAACCCCACTGATGTGGCTATAATGCCCACATTCATCCCTCAGAGTGGCTGGTGGATTTGAATCTCTGACCTTTTGGTTAGCAGAGAAACACGCTATACGTGATGCTATTCCCATTTCTTGCCTGGTAAATGTGTAATTGGATTGCTTGGCCTACCAATTTTAACAGACAAATCACATTGGCTTTCATTTGATCTTCACACTTCCTCACTGAGCCATCTCTAGAATCTAGTTAGTTTAATATATAAGCTTTACTTTTGTAACAGATGAGCAGCTGCAGTGTCACTTTGGCTGGTGCACAGCCTTGTAATGAGGGTGCTGCTGTAAGAGGAGGGGGGCCATTGTGTTCAGTCACCTATTAAGACTTTTGCAAACAAAGCTTCATTTTTGATCACTCAGCACCCTAAGTGGGAGAGAAAAAAATGTGGACTAGCAAGCACATGGCTAAGCTGATGGCTTCAGAACATGTTGACACTGACTGAAAAGTGCTCAATTATGTCACTTTTTGATGCACCTTTAAATTTCATCTAAACCTAAAACTGTTTACAAGTTAAAGTATGCTAAATGTTGTACCCATGACCAAAAGACTTAATTAGCTTTTCTCCAGTTCCTTGGCAACGAAAGACTTGTGAAAAACTTCTCCTTTTTTTATATTTTTGACCTGAATAAATAGTTCCTCTAAAAACTCATGTCCACTGTGTATCATCTTTAATTTTCTTTTTTTGTCATTTACAGGGTGTTAAATATCTGTGCATCCCAGCAGCAGATTCACCTTCTCAAAACCTGTAAGTTTGTTTTCTGTACTGTTTGAAGATACTAAGAATGCATAAAGAATTGTAAAGTCAAATAAAAAAAGGATTATGACATTAGCAGAGTATATGCCACCCTATTTTACAGAAACAGAGTGAAAATTTGCAAATCACATTGGCTTTCATTTGATCATTCATACATCAATTATACTTGATTCATTATATCTTATCCGAATGTAATTATCTTTCCCTTCCCCCAGTTTATCTATCTCTTAATGTTTACTCTTCTCTTCCTCCTTGCCCATCCCTGGGAACCGTCACCAAGAATGATCCAATCTGTGTAAGCCTTTCCTCATTAGTTTTTTATGTAGTAGTCTTACACTGTAACAGTCCTTTTGTGACTTAGCATAATGTCCTCTAGATACATCCAGGCTACATAAGGTTTTGTTAATCTTATATTATTTTTTAGTGTTGCATAGTTTTCCATAGTGCAAATGTACTATTTCCTTAATCATTTGTTGATAGACATTCAATACTTTCCATCTCTTCACTATTGTAAATAATACTGCATTGAACGAGTGTGCACATATCTTGTTTGTGTGGCAACTCTTAATTCTTTGGAATCTACCCAGCATTGGGATTACTAGATCAAATGGTATTTCAATTTCCAGTTTTCTAAGACAGGGTCAAACTACTTCCTATAGAAGTTGCACCATTTTACATTCCCATCTTACTTCCTCAAACCAAACGTTTAGCATGCTACCCATTCTCCAGTGTTTGAGAGTTCCAGTCTATACTCTCACCAAATTTATTGTTGAATTCTACTATTGTTGCTGGAGTAAGATGATATCTCATTATTGTCCTGATTTGCATCTCCTTCAGATCTGTTGCTCATAGGGTCACAATGAGTTGTAGTCAACTTGATAGCACCTAACAACGGCAATAGCTAATAATCTTGAGCATTTTTTCTTGGTTTGTTGACCATATGAATGTCTTCTTTGGTGGAGTATCTCTTCATGTAGTCTCCCTGTTCTGTAATTTGGTTGTCTTTTTCTTAATGAGTTGTTGAAGTTTCCTGTAAATGTTGGAGATAGGTCCCCTTGTCAGATGTCATTGCCAAATATTTTTCCTACTCCGTAGATTCTCTTTTTGTCCTTACAGAAATCTTTGGATGAACATTAGGACTTAATTTTTAGGAGGTCCCAATTACCTAGTTTTCCTTCTGCTGATTGTGTATTTTCTAATCGTTGCCCACGTGCACCCCTTTGGTCTTTAGAGGGGGGCTGGACCCCAGAAACCAGGGGCCTAGCCAGCCTGGTCACAGGGTTGTGCTTGGTCCTAAGCAGCCTTGTTTAATGACCTCCATTTGTGGCATGTCTGATGGAGTGTTCATGTGAGTATTCCAATTTTCAAAAAGGGTACTTCCGAGCTGACTTTCAGCATGCCTGTCCATTCTCTGGAAGTGAAGCAAACCTTTAAAGAAGGCACTGAATCTTGTCTAAAGCAGCCTGCCCAGTAGAAGCAAAATGTGAGTCACTAATACAAGCCACATATGGAAATTTAGATTTCCTAGTAGCCACATTCAAAAAGCTTAAGAAACCACTGCCATTCATTTGAATAGTATTATTTTCTTGAAATCTGTTTATTTGGCACACATGTCGTGTTGTTGTTAAGTACTATCAAGTTGACTATGATTCCTAAGGGTCTGTGAACAACAGATCTGAACCTGCCCTGTCTTTTGCTATTACTATCCTTATGAATTCTACTATGCTCAAGCCTGTTACTAGAGTCTCTGGGCTAATCCAACACATACACTGTATACATACATAATATAAGAGCTATGAAGGAGCTTTTTTATATCTCTTTTTTTTCACCAAATCTTCAACACCTGGACTGCATACTCATACAGTAGCACATTGCCACCCCTCTGCCCCACCCCTGGTGCTCCTTAGCCACTGGAACTTAGGGTCTACAATGCCATCCTCAGGCTCCTCTGAGTTTAGGAGATGAGCTGGTATAGGAAAATCCAGTGTTCTCTTTCTTCAGCACTGAACTAATCTTTGATACCATCCTGACTCTCTTTGTGCATAAATCTGTTCATCTAATCCAGATTATAAAACAATAGCATGAATTTTATTGAGCAGAAGACAAGGAAGGGGGCAGGTGATATAGAAAAGTCATGAATAGGTAGGAAGTGGTGGCAAACAGAGTCAATTGATGGGATATATTTCTATACTAACTTGATATTGCATAGAAAAAGTGAATCTTGAAGGTTAAGGATGTCAGAAGAGAGACTACTAGGACCACAAGTAAAATAAAGTAATAGTCCTAAACTGAGGAGGAGAGGAAGAAGTGTTAGAGAACTTCCTTGGTTACTAGTCGTGTCAAGAAACAGAAGTGGTTGGAAGGGCATGGTGCATACATACGGAAGGAAGTGAACCACTGCTTTTCTCTGAAGATCACAGCACTCTTCTAGCTGATGTTTTTGGTGGTTATTTTTAGAATGGCTGCTTTCCTCCTCTCAAGCTGAGGTTCTAGCTGAACATACTGTTGAACTTGGCCAAACCTGATTGGCAGCTTGAGTGTCTAAGCAAATCAAACTGTGAGCATCCTGACCGTGTGATTTTAGCTACCTGTGCTCACACTTCCCCAAGTGCTGCCCTGCACACCCAGGATGATGACAGTCCAGATGACCAACTACAGAGTAATGCTGAGTAGCCCTTTGTGGTAGGCAAGCCAGCATATTACAGCATATCTAAAAAATGCCATCCACAGCCAAATACAGCTACATTGGACAAGTCATTTTAACCCCATTAAACCTTAGTGCTTACTTCTTAAAAACACCTGTCATCAATTTTTTATGAGATTGTGTATTTAAAAGTATTTTGAATTAACTCTGAACACTTTGAAAAGTAAAATCGTACTCTTACTCTACTCAACCTGTATTAACTTATACTGAAAGTTAACAGGGAAAGAAACTGAAAAAAGAAATTTTGATGCTCAAGAGCCCATTTCAGTGACTTCAGAAGATGTGCTATGTCAAAAAGTGAAGTGACAAAAGACACACATCTTCTTTTCTAAGCTCCAGTGTCTCATTCAAGTTGTCTTTCAATATCAGCCGGTGCTATGAAGGGACAGAAGACACACAGCTGCTTTTCTAAGCTCCAGTGTCTCACCCAAGTCTTCTTTCAATATCAGCTGGTGCCAGAAGACTAACACATAATATTTGACTCTGTATGTGCTAGCAGAAACCATATTCTTTGGCAGGCTGTCAGGAATGACAAGTCCTTGGAAAAAGGCATCCTGCTTGGAAAAGAATGAGAGGAAGGCCTTCAGTGAGTTGGAGTGACACCATGACTACAAAAATTGGATTAAGCACAATGAAGATGGTGAGGATGATTCAGACTTGAACAGGATTTTATCCTTTTGTGTGTGGGGTTACTGTGAATCAGAGCTGATTCAGCAACACCTAACAGCAAGAGTTATCTGTAACCAAGAAGAGCTTTTTAAAGTCTATGGTGGAGTGCGAGCCAAATTCTGACAGCTTAGGTAGTGGTGACTGCATCAATATTGAGGAGAATGACAGACTGTGTCCATGCTGTCGTGAGAATGAAGATTTATCATCCTTTACTTTGAGGTCCTGCAACAATGGAGCCCTCTCTTTTGGTTGAAAAAGGAAGTCAAGACCATAACTCACGCAAAGGAGGAAAAGACGTGTGCTGATGCTGAGTGTTATGTTTGTAGACATATGTGTGATTCTTTGGGGGAATTCTTACTTTTTTAATCAAAAAGTTTGTACATAAGTTTGTCAGTTTGCACAGCAGTATTCACAAAATAATAAAGAACATGTTTTGCTTTGCTGGAGTCCTCTGAGAGGTTTTGAAGTTCTCTTAGGAGCATTAATGTATTTGGTGTGTTAAGAGATAAACTTTGAAATAACTTGAATTTCTCTTTACCTGTTGCAAATGTTTCATGAAAGTTATGTCATTGTTTTTTAACATTTATTATTATTTGTTTGAAATTTTAGAAAGCATATTGTTTGGGGGTTTTTTCCCCTCAATGAATCATGCATATTTTGTTCCACATTGTTTTTTTATAACAGGCACAATATTTGTTTGTTCATTTATTCCACATTTTCCTTCCCTTCACCCCTCCTAATAAAGTGTTCATTGTTTATCCATTCATTTTCTTTCCCCTTTTCCTCCCTCAGTGCTAACTATAATAGGTTGATTCTCTTGGCTCATAATCCTCTTTCTATGTTTGATACACATGATCTTATATAGTTATTTGACCTTTTGTAACTGAATTCAACATGACGTCAAACAACGAATGTTGACAGGCTGAGGTGAGATAAGAACTCTCATACATTGCTGGTGGGACTATAAAATAGTACAACCAAATTATGGAAAGTAGTTTGGCATTTCCTTACAAAGTTGAAAACAGAAGCTATCATTTGGTATAGCTAGTCTACTACTAGGAATATACCCTAAAGAAAAAAGAGCTGACGTATGCTCACTCATCTTTACTGCAGCATTATTCACAATAGAAAGAGGTGGAAACAACCCAAGTGCCCATCAGTGAATGAATGGATAGACAAACTATGCAGCACTGAAAACAATGATGGATTCATGAAACACTACACAATATGGATGCGGGATCTCTGGTGGCTTAGTGGTAAACAACTGTACTCCCACCACAAAGGTACATGGTTTGAATCCACCGGTTGCTCTTCAGATGGACAATTCCTTCCAGGGTAATTTATAGCCTCTGAAAACAGTTCCAACTTGACAGAACAACACACCATGGATGAGTGTAGAGTATGTGATGTTGTTGTGTTGTTAGGTGCCATCAAGTCGTAGACGACTCATACCGACCCTATGAATGAAAGGCCTGAGCACTGTTCATAGAGTTCCGGAGGCAAGCCATTTCGGAAGTGGATGCCACTCCTGCTTCCAGGCTGGTTTTAATTGAAAAGCTCCAGCAAACACTGTCCACCATGGGCAACCATTATCACACTTAGCACATCAGTGTCACAG